CTAAGTAAAAATGATGATCAAGGTTGGATTGACGTGTATTTTACAGTTAAAATTTGAATAATAACCTGAATATGAAATTATAACAAATCTTAAGGAATTTTATTCACTGTTTTACAGTAGTTTACTTTTGCTTAGAAGCATTTAAGGTCACAATGTGTGTTCTTTTCTTTATAAATTTTTTTAAAAAAACACTAGTTTCATACATTACTTTTTGAATGTTGTATCTTCTCCTTGTCTTTTCTTTAGTAGTAATTTGATATTGAGTTATAGATAGTTAAATTTAGTTACAGATGACGAAGTGTACCTCAATGATTTCATACTCTTTTTTTTCCTTACTGTACTTTTGAGTTCGAATTTCAGTAGTTCAATCTCATTTTTGGTGGCAGTCAGTTTATTGATAATTCTTTGTATTTTTTCTCTTAAACAAAGTCCACCATTAAGGTGTTCTGCTGCTTTCATCTTTCTTGATGTGACTAGAGAGCGTGGACAAAGAAATATAGGAGTTATTCTATTTTTAAAGCACCATTGAATGTTAGAAATGCGATGATTTGTAAATCTTGGTCGTTTTCGTGAATTTGTTGATTCGCCTTCAAACAGGGAGACCATAATTATCACTAATGTAAGTGTAGAATTCGGGCACGGTGGTAGAATGTAAACTGTTATGATTATGTCAGTAATAAATCGTGCTTGCAACATTACCCAATTATTAACTATATGTTCTTATCAGATAAATTTATCTTATATAGACCTACAACAATATTATGACAGAAAGAAATATATTAGATAAATATTTACCACTGGGAAAGTAGTATTAAAGGAGGATATTTTCTAGTTAGGTTCGTTATATCTCCATTATGGGTAAGATTTTATTTTGATAAATCACACAGTGTTATACAGTAATATTAACAAATTATTGCTACTCATAATCATATCAAGGCACTCACTCACACAACTTTTTGCTTCATTTATATACATGAGTGGAATTGATTAGACATTTGAATAAAATCAATATATATATATATATATATATGTTATATGTTTCAACTGATGGTTCAAATACTTAGAAATAAAGAATTGTACTTTTATCCTGTCCTCACTTCAAATAATATAACTGAGATTACATCATTGTAAGAAAAGGGACATTAATAGTTATGTAGTCCAAAACGAATTTCTAGGATGTTTGTTTGTGTGTCTGCCGAATGTATATTGTGTTCTGTTTCACTTTCCTGTGATTTAACTTACTTCAAAATTCTACTCTATTTCTATATCTTTTCTTCAATGTGTTTCTTTTAGTAGGGTTTTGATTAATCTCAAGTTTCATGAGGAACTGACTTCAGTTAGAGAACTATTAAAAACCAGGGAATACTAGACAGTTGTTGCGCCGTAGTTTTGAACCCTTCGGCAGTACACACCGATGACTCCATTCCCTGGGATAGAGCCCATGATTTACGGTTTACAAGATGAGCTCACAGACCATTGTGCCTATCAATTCTAACTGTTGCCGACCGACAACCAGTGTCCAGTACTGCTTGATAATTACAGTAGTTCGCTAACTTGAAGTCAGTTCGTGATGAAACTTGAAAACATTTAACTGTTAAGATACATCATATATACAACATGCCGTTCATTTGTTTGTATCCCTCTTAGAGATTGTCAACGAACTAGGGAACAGTTGACAGGTGGTGTGGGGACTTATTGGTAGGTTAACTCACTAATATGTAGATATATATTCATGTATATTCAGTTCTAGTACTCCAATATGGGAGTATACTTATTCCCCAACGAATTCACCCAATGATTATCATCATAATCAGTGGAATCAAGCTGTAATTTCTTTGGATTTCGGCAAACAATCGATTGTAGATTATAAGGTATGCAGTCAGCCACCTATTTTTCCCCTTTTTTGAAAGGTTGATTTACACATAATGTTTCTTATGACATGTTAATATCCATTACTTTTACTGTTACTATTATTATTATTACTTATGAAATTGTCTGCCGGTTAGAGAATTTTTAGGTGTTAGTACGGCATTTCGTATGAATCTCTGTTTTTTAGGGCTTATTGTCCTCGTTTTTTGATCTTTTCCCCCCGGCAATTGTTTTCTTTTCGTTTTCTGAAATTTTTTTTATGATTTTGAAGTATAATTTATTTTTCAAGAGTTGGTTTGTAAGGATTAGATTTGTTTTTACGCACCCACTGGCGAACTGCCGACGAATCCCAAGTTAGGACGAAACAGCTGTCCAGTACTCCCTGGTTTTCAATGGTTCTCTAACTGATATCAATCCGTGATCAAACTCGTATAATTTATTATTGATTTATAAAATATGTAAATTTCTCATATTTTTTAAATCTTTTTTCAATTTTTGAATATATACACTTATTCATTTTTATGTATCACTTAAATATGGTTCTGTAAGATGATAGATGCTGATAGTTTAAGAATTTTTTTTTATTCTAAAGAAAACTTTTGTGGAATAATTCAATGTTTTTGTTGCTAAGTATGTGTGATTATTATTTTACTTTCTTTTTATTCTTTGTGTTGTGAATGATGGAATATGGAGGCTCAGGCTTTGAAATTACTGTGGGCATGGTATAATTTCTCTTTTACAGGGTAAGGTTAGTAGCCTCATACTCAGATTTCCTTCCTATCCTAGCCCACTACCGGCTGGGGGTGGGCTTAGGGTTCACCAACCAGGAATCAAACCTGGACCTTCTCTAACCTGACTAGCATTCTACTATTGAACCACTGATTTTTTTTATTCCTTTACGTTCCCAGTGCTGGAACATAGGGCTTCAAGCTAGAGACTTTAAGTTTCTGTAGCAGTGGTGATTAGTTTTACAGGATAGGGTTGCTAGCCTCATGCCCAACCTTCCCTCTTTACCAGTCTTATTGCTGGCTTAGCGAGGTTTAGGAGTACGTCGGTCGGGAATCGAACCCCGGGGCACTTGCGTGGTTGGCGAGCACTCTACCGCTGTGCCACCGATGCACTTTGAACCACTGATGGATACATATAATTATATCATGATATGATGTGATGGGCTAGGGGAGTTGGATAGACCAATGTTATAATAAATACCTTAACTTATCCATTAATGTATTTCAGAAAGGGCACAGACTACTAAACATTTAAAAGAAAGTTCTTTTAACTCTTTTGTGTTCACTTAAGATTTTAAGTTATTCTTTTTACTTAATGAAACTATTTGATTACTTTGTATCATATAACGAAACTTGTTACATAACGGCCTTAATATTTAGACTTAAATTCATAAAAAATCTCCCCTTCTTAGACATATAGAAAGGGAAAACATGTGATCGAATGAAGCAAAGTGGTGAATTGTGTTGTGTATAAATATTTGAACACATGCATGGAATTGGCAAAACTCATTTTGTCGGACTCTGAGCAGCCTCTTTATTCACACCACTTTTATCCTCTTGCATCTCATCGGATAGGACTGGAAGCAATTTTAGATGACTTTGTGTTGGCAGCACCTAAATACAAAAACGCTCAAGGGTAGTTTATTTGACAAGTAACCCTGTAATGAAGCGTTAAGCATAAAACTACTAACTTATATTTTTATTGTGACTACTATTCATGTTAATGTTTCTGCTAAATAATTTTTCCTTTACTATGCATTTTAAAGGGGAAATTAGATGCCTTATTGTACTATATGCTGAGAATTATAGTGTGTATAAAACAGTATTGTTTGGAAGGAAGCTATTATTATTTCTTAAGAATTTGTTTGATATTTGATATTAATCCGGGATAAAACATAAAACAAACGAGATCCCTATAAACTACCTCTTGAAAATAAATTTGATGCTCACCAATAACTGGCTACAGGTTGAAGTTACCTGGATTTATGGTGAGAATTCGTAATCAGAGGGGTCCACCAGCTCGGGTTGGAGGACAAAACTTAGAATTCATGGGTTACTACTGAATTCTGGCCTTAATAGCTGAATGGTCAATAAGTCTGACCTCGTAACCTGAAAATCCCGGACTCGATCCCTTGTGGGTTCCTTGGTGTGTACTGCTGAAGAGTGTCAAACTTCAGTACTTCCTACTTGTTTTCAATGATTGTCTAACTGATATCGATTTGTGATTATTTTCGTTATTATTATTATTATGCGACTCCGACGAATTTATTTGGTAAATCTATACACTCGTAATTATATATATAATTCATCTCGTGACTATGCTACATAGTTCTGCATTTAAAATATATAATATCTGCTAGAATAAATGTAAAGTTATTGAGATTAGCGAGAGTTAATCAAAATATAATGGCAGTTAAATAAACATGTCCAATGACTGTTACGTAATAAGATGAAAAGCTTAAAGGCTGTGTGCATGTTAGCACAAAAGTGGTGATATTACGTAAGAATTAAGTCGTATGTGAAAGAATCAGAAAGAAATTTTAATATCTGTTTAAAAATAATTGTATTAACAATTCTAACATGAATCAAATACTACCAAGGAAGAAGAAATAGGTTGAACAAGTTTCCTGTGTGTGTGTAAAGCCCCAGTTTTTTTCTGTTTCTTTATAAGAAGACTCAGTTCCTACGTAATATCACCTCTTTTATGTTTTCATATACATTTTAATACTGATAATAACAATTCGTTCCTTAAGCATCCTATCTTTTCATGTGGCTCATTGTCTATAATTGGTTGCCTTTATTAAACCTTCATCATATTATGATTAGAACTCAGTTACCTGTAGTAGATCTTCTATGCACTAGGAGGCTATAAGCCTCACAATTATCATGTAAGGACTGAAAATTGCTACTTATTTGCTCAGACTTAAGTAGATGAAGCTGGAACTGGAACTCCAGTGCTTAAATCGAAAAGCTACATCTCCATAGTTTAATAAGTTTACATTTATTCTGTTAGTTGTTATATATAGTTTGAATTTTAGAAATCATACATAATATTCATGAAATAAAGTTGTATTTAAACTTTAGCATTTGGTGCTGTATGCATCGGTGTTCCATTGGTAGAGTGCTTGCCAACTGTGCATGTGGACTGGGGTTCGATTCCTGTCCGACACACTCCTAAACCTCGGATAGTTTACTAACTGATAGTAAGTGCGAGACTAATAACCGCACCTTGTTAAAAAGTAACACCATCGCTACTAAAATTTGGCAGGTCAAAGTTTAAAGCTATATGTTACACTCGGAACGCAAGGAATAAAAAGATTGCAGCTATCTTTTAGTGTTTTTCTTATTCCTTCACGTTCCCAGTGGAACATAGGGCTTCAAGCTAGAGGCTTTATGTTTCTGTAGCAGTGGTGATTATTTTTTACAGGATGGAGTTGCTAGCCTCATGCTCCCAACCTTCCCTCTTTATCAGTCTTATTACTGGCTTAGCGAGGTTTGGGAGAGCGTCGACTGTGGATCGAACTCTGGACCATGTGCATGGTCGGCGAGCGTCCTAACCACTGTGCCACCGACGCACTTATCTTTTAGTACTAGTGATTAATGTTTTGATCTAAAAATACTTGTGCAATTTTTTAAAGTTTTGTTTCCTTGTACTGTTTGGTTGTTAGTTATCTTGTGTTTGTCTGTTCTTAATACAATCTTCGTTGTATGAAGTTGAATGTTTGTCATCTTGATATCATCTTATATTTATTCTCCTTTCATCTCCTCTCTTTCTTTCTTTCTTCAATAAAATTAATTTAAAATCTACTGCTATTTCTATTCATCGAACTGTTTCGTAAACAATAGTTTCTCTCTTGCTATTATTTCAGCTCTTGTGAATTAGCTAAGCATCATCGTACTGGTGGTCTTGCAACTCTCTGGTAGGTATTTAATATTTATTCTCTCTCTCTTATATCTAAACTATTCCATCGACAATCATCTATCAACATCTGGTGAATATCTTCTTTGTTATTATTACAATCTTAGTGCAAATGATCCTTTATGGTATTCATCAAGTTCACCGTCAAATCATCATCGTCATCTTCCAGTGGTGGGTGAATTATCTTCACTAGGATGGCAAATGGTCTATATTTCATTAGATTCAAATGATTCAGAAAAGAAAGATTATAAGGTATTAATTATTCTCTATTTATTAGAATGACTTTTATAATATATATTTTTTCTCTATACTTTCCCCTCTCTTAGAAGTAAAATTGTTTTCATTTTAATTAGGTAAAAAATTGTCTGCACCTCATTATCACTGTTACTGACTTGACCAACACTCAATTTCTAGTCATTATTTATGCTACGTCATCCAATTTATTTGATCAATTTTAGTCCTAATTTAAATGGCATTATTCTCTACCCCACCTCTACTTAGTCTCTACCTGTAATTTTGCTCTGTTGCTATTACGTCATCTAACTTACTAAATCAATCTTACTTTAGCTGGTGTCTAATTAACCTTGTTTCTATGTTAGATCATTCTTGTATTATCTAATTAATTATCTAAGCATGACAAACCTCATGCACACACACAAGTAATTGTATATAAATGCGATTGTACAGCTATGTGAATGAATTCGCCGTCGAAAAGAGTCTGTTCGCTGAACGTCTCCTCTTTTTTTATAAATGTAATGTATCTCTTCTTTTTGATAAAGTATTTAAATTTATTGTCATTTTTTGTTCAGGGAAATAGTATTGTGTCTATTCAGTTCTTTGTTCATTGTTAAAATTGATAAACTTCGTGTTTTTTTTGATATGTCTATTGCGTAATTGGCTGGTAATAGTTTTGCCCTTGTGACCTCTGAAGTGCATTACGCGTCTTACATGATCTCAATAAATTTTGTAAAGTTTCATTTAGTATCATATGCATTTCTCCTCCCCTCCTCTCTCTTTGTCTCTCTCCCTGTCTGTGTGACGTAATTTGACAACATTGTTAAGTGTATTTGATTTTTAAGAAAATTCTCTTTGCACTTTCCCCTTTCATTGATTGGACTGAAATGCTTAGCCTCTGTTGACTTATTGACTGCTTGTGCTCCTTGTCTGAAGTAATTCGGTGGTCAGTGATGAAATGCGCTTCCTGGATCCCATTGCTAGTTACTTCAAGTACTTGATTTTTGTTTTAGTCTTGAGTATATTGAAGTTGTTATATGTGTCCAGTCTAACAGAGTAGTTCATGTTAACACTAACGTTTCAATAGTCTCCCCCTTTGTTTTGTGCGATGACTTAACAATTACCACCTCGTTTGTCACATTGTTTGATTCATGTTCTAACTTATTTTACCAGTAAGTAGTTGTTTATGTATTTGTTTCTTTTTCTTGATTACTGAACTAAATTTTTTGTTATTAAAAAGGAGAACAAATATGTGTGTAATCTGTCCACACCTATGACACTTAAAAACTACCTAAGCCGCCTTTAGTTAAAACTACGCTTAAACAGTTTAGTATGTTTTCTGCTTTTATTGATTTCAGTGTTCTGCTGTCATAAATGCTTATTGGTGTTGTGTTTGTGTATGTTAGATGACTGGAGGCAATCGACGGGAAGCCTTTGACGGAGGTTTTCTGCCTGTTGGCACTTACTAGTCAGCAAGACATATCGGTAATATTGAAGGAATTCTTTGTACCTTCTGAGATTCAAACCTGGACCACACAGTGTTAGAGGCTAGAGTTAGAGGCGTTACCACTGACATTCAAACTTGCCATTGAGTTCCATCAATGATACAGATACGCATTGATGACTGTTGAGTGCCAACAAATGCGAAACCTAGGTCAGACAGGGCTTCCTACTGATTGCCTTCAAACAAACGAATTGCCTATGATGGTGGCTACATTACCAATCTTGATTGGCAAAATAATTCAGTCTGCATCAAATGACATTAGTTACGACCCGGAGACCTATCAAAGTGCGTGTTTGTGTATGCCTGTTTATTTAATTTTATTCCTTCCTTTCTCTCTTTTAATTTCTTTCCTTTTCTTTCCTTATATTTTCCTAATACATTAGTGCCTTGAGTAATTAAAGGTGATATACATCAGTGCTATTCAATAGTGTGTCTTCATTCCTGTTTCATTTTGAACAACTTGACTACCTCCACACTATCGCATTGTGTGTGTGTGATACATCTCCCGTGTTCTTGAAAAGCATTTCAGTTCATTTAGCAAGAGTTGATGTCAGCTTCTGAAGTTTCCCTCTGTAGTCTACACACAATTTGAACAGCACTGATGTTATGCCATAACAATTTTTTATCGGTATTATTTTTTTTCACTTCCCAACATATTTGATGTTATACAGGGCATGTGAACAGACCAAACACTTTGAAACTGGTACTCATGTAACTTCATGGTAGGTAATCTTTTCACACTATATGGAAATTATACTTAAATTATACAGTGCAAGTGTTCCTTTATGGGAATCGATAACACCTCAACCAACATCAAAATGGACTGAAACAAGAATTGATATCTCTCAGAAATCTAATCTTAGATCAGATTTTAAGGTATGCAAGTATTATTAGTTTTTTTGTTTCTCCTTACTTTCTTAAAAATCATCTTAAATTTTTACATCACTGTCTCTTGCGAGCTATCAGTACACGAGTGTAACTATTTTTGGTAACAGTATTTATAAACTTGTTAGGTCTACGGGCATTTCAATTAATCTCATTTTGACAAGCTAATATAAGCCAGAGAATTACTGAAGACCTAGAAGCCCTCGTCCTGTTGGGACTCTTCAGTTGTGCGCGCACACGCATGATTTCACCTAGGGTTGAACCCTGGATTAGTGAGTTATTGAATTCCAAACCATTAGTTGGGACGATTAACTCGCTTAAGAGACAATGGGTGAGCACTACTGAAGAATCCTGAATTAGGATGAAACAACTGTTCATCGTTCCTTTGGTTTTTAATCAATATCTAAGCGATGTTGGTTTGTGACGACATCTGTATTGAAGAAATATTTCTTTACTTCATTTGTATGTAGGTGTAAACCTTAACTTTTTCCGCAGTTGTTATTTACCCATGCAGTATTGATTTTCGTTATATTTGGTTTTGTTACATCTTTTTTTACATTGAATTTTGTATAGGTTCAAGATTGTCTTAGAAATGACCTGTATATTCATAATATTCCTTCCTGACAAATAGGATAGATAATGTATGTCTGAATTTGTTCAAGAATTCAATTTTCTCTTTCTAATAAAAATAACCATAAAATTTAGGCTAAGACAATTTACAAAATGAAAGTGTAATTCAGTCACAATAAAATATGCTAATTTCATTATCACACCCACTCCACCCTCCCCCAACTACGAAAGTATTTGTTCTTCCAGTCATTAGTATTGGGTTTTTCATTTGTGTTTTTTGCTTTCCTTTTCCGCCTTCATTTTAACTCTTTTATGAAAATTTTAAAAAATGCTTGTTCTTTTTTTGGAATAAAATTTTCTGCATCATAATTTATTAAATGGTGCCTATTTTAAAATAAAAAATAGCTTCCTTGTAGCACTACATTATCGATTGTCGAAAGCTGGTAATAAGTCTCACAAACAAACGTTTTTAGTTGTGTGTTTTTTCATTGCTTTGTGTTTTGAATGGAACATAAGACTTCAGTAGCGGTGGTGTTGCTAGCTGCACACCCAAAGTTCCCTTATTTCTAGGCTTTATCAACGGCTAGGTGAGATTTAAGTGTACGTTGGATGTCGGGAATCGAACCCTAGACCAAGAGCGTGGTTGGAAAGCATTGTGTCATCTAGTCATCAACATATATTTATTATTATTTCCTTTAATTCCTAGAGGAACATAGGGCTTCAGCCGTGCGTCTCCATTGCGTTCGGTTCTCTGCCAACGTTTTCATTTGGCTCCACGTCTGCCCACACCTTTTCATTTCCTCTTTACATGACCTCCTCCATGTCACCCTCTCACTGACGACCAACTCGCTGCTTCCCTTTCGGGTTCCACTCGAGTGATGGCCTATCGTGTGATGTCACTTGATGGTTTCCTCAGAGTATGGCTAGCCAATCCATCTCCATTTCTTCCTGCTTATTTGTTTCACAATCGGTTACTGGTTGGTCCGCTCCTAGAGATCTCTGTTGCTGATCTTTTCTGGCCGGCCATTTGATCTTGAGTATTGAGCGAAGACAGCTGTTAATGAAGGCCTATAGTTTGTTTGAGATGCTCTTTATGTTGCTCTAAGTCTCTGATCCATATAATAGCACTAACTTCACATTGGAGTTTAAAATCTGGATCTTATTTTTGATGCTGAGTGTTGTTGACCTTTACACAGACTTGAGAGTAGTGAAAGCTTGTCTTGCTTTCCCGATTCTTGCTTTGATATCCTCGTCGGTTCCGTCCAGCTGTAGTTGAAACGATGCTTCCCAGGTAGGTAGGTAAAGGAGGTAGTTTCTTTCAGGTTCCTCCCATTTATGCTGATCGTTGTCTGTTTTTGTTGTTATTGTCCAGGAATCTTCATTACCTCTGTTTTCTCTATGTTCACCTGAAGTCCTATCTTTGATGCTTCTTCTGCCATATATATATATATATATATATATATATATATGTTAAAGTTCATGCATAGTATCATGAGTCATATGTAGTATTATATACTTAGGCTAATGTTATTATTGAGATTTGAAAGTAGGTAATCAATTCGTATTTATGTATCCACTAATCTACATCCAAGTATATTTAGTTCATTCATTTACTCTACAAGCCATTATGGTGCTGTATACTTCATTGGCTTATCAACTCGACTTTCAGTCTGTGTGTGTCCCAGGTCTAAATCCTACCTAGCCTAGACAACTGGGTAGTATCTTCAATCGTTACTCAATGCTTATGTAGCTCATTGAGCCTAAATAGCTTAGTGGTAACGTCTCTGACTGCAGAACTGCAGTGGGTGACACGGTTTGGAATCTCAGGAGGGATATGAGTCTTTTTTAAATCGTTCGTCGGTGGTTCAGCTGCAGAACTCTTGCCAACTATGCACATGGTCCAGGTCCCGATCCTCGGTCGACAAACTCCTTAACCTTGCCGGTAAAGAGGGAAGCTTGGACGTAAGGTTAGCAACCCCACCCCTTTTAAAAACAAAAGCACTGCTACTGAAAATGCAGAGCTCTTGCTTGAAGCCGTATGTTCCACCCAGAACCTAAAAGAACGAAATAGAAAATAATATTGATACATATGTGTGGCTCGAAGCCTGAAACATGAAGAACCTGTTCCGGCATCTCAGTTCATACAGCCAAATATTCACACTACCACTTTTTGAATAATACGATATTCTGAAAACATTCAAAATTTTCAAAACTAACACAGTTCTTTCTTTTTTTTTCTGCTAAATTATAATTCTTTTCCTTCTTTTCACAATTATAATTACCAATAGTGACGTAGTTTTAATCTGTCAGGATGACTCATTTCCCTCTTTTTTTGGTTTAAGTGTAGAGAAAGGCTTTGATTAAGTGATTCTCTTTTATAAGTAATATATATATATATGTCTGTTGTCTTACTCTTTTTCTTTCTTTTATGCCTCAAAAGTTTGTTCCATTTTTATATATAAACTTAAGGGTAACAATATTATTGCTAGATAGAGATAACTTTTTCACTCTTTGCCTTCTAAGTGGAGCGCATGACTTCAAGCTTTGAAGTTTTATTAGTGGTGGTAGTGGTAATTTTCTTTTAAAAAGGTGGAATGGAGATGTTAGCGCCTCTATAACTCAACCTTCCCTTCTTTTTTTCTTGGTTTTTGCTGAACCCAGTATTAGGCCAGGAGGAGATTAGGAGTGTGCGTTTGCTTAGAATCGAATATCGACATCCTGGGTGTGACAGGACAGCATGCTACCCTTTGGACTACCGACACACAGTTGGAGTTACAGTGTAATGGTATAAGACCAGAGACTTGGTAAAGGAATGCTTATTTGCCATTTGATATCTCTATATAGCCAAGTTATGTACACCTTATCTTCCATGTCGTGCTCCTTCTGGCCTTCCTTCATAATGTGTTTCTTTGTGTTCCTTCCACACCTCCCATGGATCTCCACAACGCTGTATTATTTGCTTTCTCTGACATCAAATCCATTTATCTTCCTTCTATTTGATGTTTTTATGCCGATGAACGTCTCCTTACATATACATCCTACTAAAAACCTTATCAGTAATACACGCCATATTAGTACTTTATTACTGTTTTTTTCATTTATTCCTTCATACTTTTTGTAATATTTATTTCATTTGAATATCTGTAGCATTTTTTTTCTTCTAAGCCACTGGTGTTAATTCCTTCTCCATTTATGCTGCCAGTTTCATTGTTGTGGAACTGTGGCGTATTAGTCTAAGCACTTGACTTCTAACCTAATAGATATCTAAGGTTTTCTCAGCTATATATTATCATTAGCTGTCACACACACTAGGTATAGCTCATTGTTAGTCAGACAGAAATGCAAGACGAATACTTGAAAATTAATCTATTATTGCACACCACTGACTCATTACAAAAACGAAATTATCGGAAGTCATAATGAGAAGTCGTAATCAACGAGATCCAGCAATTTGGGCACGAAAACGGATACTCAGTCGTGATACTGGCTAGTTGTTGCACTATACATCGCGAGTTGGCACAAGTTAGAATTGATGAGGCATTTATTCCGTTTTTAGTGGCTGAATGGTACACGAGTTCTCCTTGTAACCTGGAGTAACCTGGGTTCTATCCCTACCGTTCGGGTCATGGGTACGTAGTTCTAAAGAGTCCTAAACAAGGACGCAACAGCTGAGCATTACCCCCTGATTTTTAGGGGTTCTCTAAACTAAGGTCAGTTCATGACCGAAATTGAAATCACGCAAATCTGAACAAAAACTTGAGATACAGTTGAGTTTCTGTGTTAGGCTGGTCACATTTACTTCTAAGAGAGACATTAGACATCTTCGGTAATGAACAAGAAAATTGTAGATTCTGTAAATAAGTTTATGCATAGTTGGTTCACATCTTTTTTAGTTCGACCGCCTTCACCATCCTCCATAATCCGTTCTAGCGTTACTGTTTTTAAATCATACTTTACAAGCTGAAGTGGTGGCAACTTCAAACTATATACCACTTTGATTGACTGGAGGATTTCCTTATGAGCTGAGATCAGTTAGACATCCATTGGAAGACCTGGGAGTACTGGACAGCTGTTTCGTCCTAGTTTGGAGCCCATCATCAGTACACACTCACTGTCAGGGTCCGAACCCAGGACCTTCTGGTTACAAGGCAAGTTCGTAGACCATTAAGCCTTGTAACTAGAAGGCCCTGGCTTCGAACCTACATGTGTGTGTATTAAGAGTCACAAACTAGAAAGAAACAGCTGTCCAGTACCTCCAGGTTTTCCAATGGTTGTCTAGCTGATGTCAGCTCATGTTGAAATCCTTCAACCAATCAAACGAAAATCCCTACAAAACAACCATTACTTGGATATACCACTTTGTTTTTGCCTGCTGTTGTAGAATGAGGTCTCTCTAAATAACGTTTCTAAGTGATATGCTTGTCATATTTTCTTGTTTGGCAGTTGTCATTCTTTCTTTCCTACTTTTTCTCCCTTCTTCTGCTCTTTAGTCTCCATCTGATCCTTTAGAAGTGTATTCTTTCTATCACATTACATTTTTAACTTTCCTTCACACTGTCTCTTATATTCCCATTGTTCTCTTCCCGCTCAATTAATTAGATCTTGTCGATCAGTGATAGATCATGAAAGTGGTCTCCCATCTATGCTATGGTAGGTTGTTTTATAATATCATCTACAATGTTTTACAAATATGTATGTATAGTTCAAATGAACCGCTATGGAAAATTAATGGATTAACTGAAAGTAATAACAAATGGCAGGTTGTTCATATTCCACTGAGTGTTAATCAATCCAGTGATTTCAAGGTTTGTATTTCTTATTCATGATTATTATTATATTCGACTATTGGTTTATAGGGATTGAATTGATTGGTTACAGGATTTTCATCATGAGCTGATATTGGTTA